CCCCCCAAAAAAAAACGCAACCCATTATGTTTTAAACTGCAACAGTGTTGAGAGAGATGAAGAACAAAGAAACACACAGAGGGTAACCCTAGTAACACTTGGTGTTGATTTAGTGTGAAGAAGATGGGAGAGACTAAGGTGATTCCTGAGTATCCAGCTTTGGTGGCTAAACAAGCAGGTTGAGAAAAGAAGAACAAAGAGTGAGTTGCCTTGCTGTGTATTTGTGGTTCAAATAAGTAGTTTTGTTCAGCAAGAAGTTATAGTCAGATGTAGTTGAGGTGTGTGCTACCCACAAACGTTTTGGAAATGTCTCTGGCATTGAGGGGCATTTTGGGTTATCCAAAATACAAACCAGAACAACACCCCTTCTCTTTGTTGGTTTAAGAGGTCCATGACTACTACCCTGTTCCCGAAAGTGAGACATCCCCCCAAAATGAGACCTACTTACAGTTTTGTCTCTTGCTGAAATATAAGGCACCCCCCGATAATAAGACCTCCCCCAAAATAAGCCCCCCTGAATCTACCATAACTCTGGACTCTGGACAGTAGTGGCAGGCGCCACCACGCAGCTCACTGTTGGCCGCAGCGCAGCCGGAGCAGACAGGAAGTGCGAGGTCTCTTTTAATAAACAGTAAATGTGTACCGTATTCTTCTTCATGGAAAAATAAGACATCCCCTGAAAATAAGACCTAGCCATCTTTGGGAGCAGAAATTAATATAAGACACTGTCTTATTTTGGGGGAAACAGGGTATAGAATATTTCTCTTTAATTAGATTGTTTACATTGGAAATCTGAAAATTGTGGCCTGAATAGAAACACTACAAAGCACGATGAAGTGTACATTGCACTGTAAGCCTACAATCACATGCAGATTTCACTACTTTATTTGTGGTAGCTCAATATGGTCATTTCAGATGCACCATTTACATTGTTCCGTGGGTGTTAACTACCTCGACGTCACCAGCAAAAACTGAAGTTTAAAAAGCAAAACAACACCTAAAAGCTATAGAGTTTTGAAAAGGAAATGTATATTATGAGTTTTTATTTAGAGCAGTTCTCAATCTGATCTTCCCTTTCAGTCTTTCCGAAAATATGTTAAAGTGTATGTCCCTCAAGATGCAATGGATATTTTTAGAGGGTAAGCCCACTTCTATAAAGGTTCATGTTCTCTAGGTAAAGTACATGTCCAAGAGGAACTTGCGAGTGTGACCTTATTTGGATATAGGGTTTTTGCAGATGGGATCAAAGTAAAATAATGTCATGCTTGATTAGGGTGGGCATGAAATCCAGTATGAGTAGTATCCTAATAAAAAGGAAACTTTGACATAGGCATTCATGTGGAGGACACCAGATGCTTGGAAGAGTCAAGGCAGGATTCTTTCCCAGAACCGTCACAGGAGCATGGCCCTGCTAACCCCTTGATTTCAGGTTTCTAGCCTCCAGAACTGGGAGAGAACAAATGCCTATTGTTTTAAGCCAACTAATTCGTAGTTATTTGTTATAGTAGCCACAAGGAAACTAATACTGTCTAGATTCTAGTGATATTTTAGGCCTTGTGTAACATGCAGCCTCAATATTCAACATGCTGTTGGAGTTGTCATGTGAAACTAGCCACAGACCAGATGTAAACAGTAAGCACAGCTTCGAAACTTGATTTTCCAAAAGCAGCCCGGAGCCAGATTTGGCCTGTGGGCTGTGGGTGGATTCCCCTGGTACACGCTATTGAGTTCAAATAGGAGAACCTACAGCCTTATTTTCAGTGCTGTTGAATACAAAAAAACACGAAAGGAGAGGGCAGCGCAAAGCACAGAACAATCCAGTGTTTGTTTTCAGCCAAAGAGGAAATCAAATTTTTTTCTTATTTCCAGTGTTGTGCACTGATATTACTGCAGGGAAAGTATGTAAGCGCTATAATATTGCACAGCTATTGTAAAATGTTATGGTTGAAGGATTTATTCTTTTGGCATACAGATAAAGATCAAGATTTGACTTCTGACTTTTTAGAGCATCCTGACTGACATCTTGGGCAGCTAATTTTATTGCGTATATTCTAAATAGGATTTTCAAATTCTTAGAGATTCCACTCATATCTGTCTTTGCAACTTTTATTTAACTAGCTGCAAATGGTTTCTGTAGTTGTTCCTAGGAGCCAGCTTATCCAGTAGAGAATTATGAATAGATACTAGCATGTGAAATACTGCTGTGGAGTCTGCACTTGATGCAGCAAAAATGCTTGTTAGTCACCCTGCTATCTCCATGTTGTGTTGTGATTTTTATGACCGTGTTTGCTTCCTTGCTTTTTCAGGGTCTTGGACTACCAGCTTTGCTGGGAAACATGTAGATATCTAAAATGAGCTGTTGGAAACTCAGTGTAGTTGTGTTATGGTTTCGCCATTAAACCATTCTTAGACAAAGAGTACATTTTAAAAAGACCACTTGGCCTCACACACTCACTGTAGCATGAAGAAGAAAGAGAATATAAATCATTTTGCTGCTGCTGTTCCGGGTTGTGAAGGAGAATGAATGATGGGGAGACCAGAACAAAATGACTCATGTAAACTTCCATCGTGATTGGTCATAGCCACCGTACACTACTGGGGTTTTTGTTTATTTTTGTGTGAGAGTTATTTTCATCCTGTCTTCTTCCCCTTCCCCCTCCAGTTCTGTTAAAGGAAGTAGTTATTAATTGTTTTTAAATACCTGGAAGTATCTATGTATAGTAAGCACTTGAAAAGCATATGTTAAACAAACAGTAGATCCAAACACCAAAATACTTGCTGAGTTGGGTTTTACCTCCTCTTTACTTCCCCTCCCCCCAAGAGCAATGTATGGCAGACAGTGTGTGTTTCCTCCTCCTCACCGCTGGAAAGTTTTACACTGGATTTCTTAGCAGTTGGACACATAGGAATTTATATCTCATTGTTGGATTGAGCATCTCTGTATCTCTTAAGAACTATGTATATTTTCTTCTTTTCCTTTTTTTGGAATTATTTATGCTCTTTGCCTACTTTGCTGTAGTTTTTTTTCTATTTCTTTCTAGCCTTTTACGTATTTAGGGAGATGAGCCATTTCTAATTTGTTATTTATTTACTTATGATTTTTGCATATAACCTTTTGTGTGCTCTCACACACACACACCTCTTTTTTTTTTTAATCATTTTATTAGGGGCTCATACAACTCTTATCACATTCCATAGATACATCAATTGTGTAAAGCGCATTTGTACATTCATTGCCCTCATCATTCTCAAAACATTTCCTCTCCACTTAAGCCCCCAGCATTAGGTCCTCATTTTTCCCCTCCCTCCCCACTCCCCCTGCCTCATGAGCCCTTGGTAGTTTATAAATTGGTATTTTGTCATATCTTGCCCTGTCCGACGTCTCCCTTCACCCACTTTTCTGTTGTCCGTCTCCCAGGGAGGAGGTCACATATAGTTCCTTGTAATCGGTTCCGTCTTTCCTACCCACTCTCCCTTTACCCTCCCTGTTTCGCCACTCACTCCACTGGTCCTGTAGGGATCAT